TGGTGACGAACCCACCGAAGAGATGAAGGTGAGGAGGACCGCGCGGGTGGCCTTTGCCCGCTGCTTCGACGGTCTCGCTATAGGCATTGCCCGCGGCCTGAGCCCTCAGCGCCTCTGGCGGGGTCGCGCCCGCGAACCGCGCGTCGATGCCCAACGACCAGAGGTCGCGCATCGCCTGGCTACGCGCCAGAGTCGATTTGATCATCGCGCTGATAATGGCTTTCTGCTTTTGATTCCAACTCGAGTCTGCCAGCGCCCCCAGGGACTGGCTGCGATCCTTGCGCTGATTATTGGGGCGATCTGGCTGAGATGCGCCCGGGGCCTTGGCTGGAGGTGACCCTGTGGCTTTCTTGCAATTGCGGGGCGCCGGCTGCAGCCGAGGCTGCTGACCCCTCGGGGGCGGCGCGCTCGAGGGCCCGCGCCGGTTGCATTCGAGCAGGTGCGCGGCGCAGGGAGTGGAAGGAGGCGTTCGCCTCAGCTGGGCCAAATTAGAACACAGGAATCATGTTGACATATGGGGCATACAAGCGGCGCAGCAACACCAGGGTGATCGGCATGAGCAGTACTCACATTACACGTGCCAACGCGATAAGCTGCTTGAATATGAGACTTAGCACTTCGACGAAAGGCAAACTCTGCATACAGCACGGGCACTGAGTGGTAGTAGCGCATGAGTACAAGTTGGACGCCCCGCCGTGTGCACCCCCTTTAGTGAACGCGTTGTGCATGGTGAGCCCTTTACGTTTGATAAAGCAGCCCGCATGCATGTCGCTCGTCACTCAAGTGCTTACATCGAAACCGAAGCTCAGCAGCACCTCGACCCTCCTCCTCCTCGGGAGACGCACCTAGATCAATGACAGGGCCCGCGCGCCAAGTTTCCAAAGCTTGCGAATCGCGCGAATGTCTTGGTCAACAACGTGTGGCGGACATCTTCATCCACGAATAAGGTGATCACCGACTGCCCACATCTCCCCTCCCAACCCTCCATGTCAGTGAGAGCCCGAAGACAACTCGCATCACTAGTGGATCTAGCAGCATGCAGGTTGGCTTCGTTAGTAATAACACCATTGTTCAGCGCATCAGAATCCTCAAATGCAATCAACCCCGACTAACGCAGCAAAAACTTGAGCATGATCCCCAGGCCATCCAACAATATGTTGGCACCGACGCAATCTCTGAATAAGTAACTCATGCCGACGAGGGATTAGATCTACCCGCGGCCGCGCGCGTCGAGACGACCACGATCTAGGACGAGGGCCCGCCCAATCACGCGCGCCCCCTTGAGCGATCGATCGAATCTCCCGAAGTGGGCGAGGCCCGAGAGGAGGGCGCCCTGGACGACACTGATGAACAATCCTTTGACTTGCCAGGGGGCCCTGCTGGACCAGAACTCTCTGCAGGCACGCCACCCACGCACGCAGGTGCTGCCTGGGGCCAGGTGCTGTGGACCAAACGTCCAAGCAGGCAAGAAGTACGGCCCAAGGTAGCGAGCATCGGGAAATACACGAGCACCCCCCACATCAGAATCGTGAAAACGTCGGTTGTCATGGTGCCCTTTCAGGCTGGGCACCAGCACCTGCATGCTCAAATTCTGCTTGTAACAAAACTGCGCAAGCACAGCGGCACTGGTCGGTTGCTCCAGCTGCACGGCTTCAACTGCTGCCGCAAGCAGGCCTACGGAAAGAACTATAAACTAGTGGAGGTCACCAACGTATTTGTTGAGGGACGCATCGACCGTCGTGGATGCCAGTGGGCAAGCTACATGATGCGAGGGCTGCGGCGAGCGGTGTCGCCACACAGTAACAGGCTCAGCAAAATCCATCCGAAAATCATCAAAAGCAGTAGTCTCTCCAATGAATGCACCGCTGACTGGTGAGGAGTAAATGGATGCCCCCATCAACAGCTTCAATATGCAATGCGCGTGTACGCCGACGATCCTCCAACATCAAAGCATCAGCGTACATTAAACACACTCCCGTAGTACCTCATTCATGCGACCATGATTGCAACAGCCATCGGCATTCGTCAGGTCGCCCAGCACTGCCACGAACGGGATCTTCTGGCTGCGCAGTCACCACGCCGTACCTTGGACACACAGAATAGCATTTTCTCGGCGCCGACGCGGCACGCAACCATGACCAGCAAGATGGGCAGGGCCGAACGGTGCAGATCGATAACTAAACGCCCCGACAAATGGCACATAACAACGGCACAGACCATGAACGTAGCGAGCGCCCCCATCAGCCTTAGGGGTTTGCCACACATTAGACTACCTAGCACGCGAAGGAAATCGACCACCCATTCTCCAAGCGCCAGCCAGGGCCAGAAACGTTTCCATGATGGCAGTAGTGCCAGGAGTCTCCACTTCAAAACAAACTCCCTCAGGTCCTCTACGCTTGCGTGTCTAGCAATGAGGAGCCATTCGCTGGGGAGGCTCCAAGATTACTTCACGATCAGTAGTGCCCGTGGGAAAGGAGCCGCGCGACACTGCGAGAACGCTGAATCCGGATAGGCACTGCAGCGAGCCCCCCACGGTCACCAGGCCACGACAACTTCTCAGTCAGCTCAAGCATGGAGGGGGCCTGGCGGCGCACAGCATTGTAGACTCGCCGCTTGGGGCCCATGCCCGTGCCAAAACGTTTTCTAGATAGTGCTTGAACAGCAGCCAGCCTGCGGAAGCGCCAGGCCTCCTGGAGCTCGGTTGTTCAGGTCGATCTCAGCGCCCGTCTCCATGTGCTGGCTCTCCCTTTCATGCGACCAGTGGGATCACGCACCTGCGAGTCATGATGGGAAGCAGGCGCGCCAGCAGCTCGGAGATTGCCTCGTAGGTCCACCAGGGCACGGGCCTCACGTCGAAGTCGTATTGTCTCGGGGTCACGCGTGCCAGGTGGGCGACCAACCGACTTTTCAGCAACAGGAAAATCGCAGAGCCCATAGATTTGCAACCATCATCATTCATGGGGGCCTCTAGGAAGCCAAGGGTGTCATGCCGAGACGCATGAAGTACTTCATGCCCTTCCTTCAAGAAACGCTCGCGCGCGCCAGGGGTCTGTGATGCAGTCGCCAGTACATGTTGATCCCCGCGTGCACGCGGACGAGGTGAGATGGACGGCCGCACCAAAGCAATAGCAATACTAATGGGTACGTGATCCACAAGCTTCCCTTTTTACCAGGCGCGAGTTGGAGGCGTCGGCCCAGCCGCGTCATAGACATGCACTGAGAAACACGCGAACGGAGTCCCACAGGGATGCCAGTGTGGCCGATGTAGCTGGAGTGCTCACCGTTGTAGTAGGTGGGCGCCGTCGAACATAATGTGTCAGGACAATACAGGATGTGACGGCCGAACAGCTCGCGACAAGCACGTCCAGCATAGCCCATCCGAGGGCGAGTGGAATCACGTATGGCATGGCCTTGGTAGCCCTCCTCGGGCGAACCAGAACCGTTTAATTCAGTATATCTGAGTGGTGTGGAACGACAAGGCAAGGCCGACAGCTCGGATGCCAGCCACTGCAATAATACATCAACAGCAGCGCGGCCCACGGCCGTCGGAGGAAAATAGAGCACAATGATGGTGATGTCCGAACTCTCCGTAATGATGCGGACCAGGCCGCCGCGTCCGAGGGCAACATCAAGTGGGACAAAAGTGCGATAGATCTGCCCCTGAACATGCCAACTCTTGCGTGTACCACTAGACACTCCAGCGCAACGATGTGTGAAAGGACCGCGTCCATATCCGAAATGCACAAAATAATGAATGCTTTGATTCTGCGACCAGACAGCTGCACCAGGAGTGGCCCTCAGACGCGTGCCGCACATAGCAATGAACGCGGCACTCTTCATGGCCTCGCTGATCTCCATGAGGCGCCTCGTTTGTACCAGGCTGCACGGGTTGTATCCAATGATTTGAAGTCGCATGTCGTAGTCACGAACGTCAGCAGCACCTCCACACACAGGCGGTGCACGGCCCCCGTTCGCCCATCAGAAGCTGTTGAGATGTAGAGAGTGTGAGTAAGCGTTGGGGGGGCCCACTTACTGTCTGACGCATCTGAAATGGGCTAGGACGGATGAGAAAGGAAAGGGAGCGAGGAGAGGGAGGATGACAGTGGGAGGAGGGAAGAGGTAGAGGCTCGAGAAGCAGGAAAGGGGGGTCGAAAGGGAACAATAGGCAAAGGCGGGAGGAGGAGGAATGGACATAGAGTATAGAGTGGTGGGGCGACGAGAGAGGAGAGGGAGGGAGGCGGCAGTGAACGAGGGGAGCAGAGAGAAGGAAAGGGATCATGTACTAAGAGTGATGGGGATGAGACGTGGAAGGCAGGAGAAAGCGAGGGCGGAATGATAGAGGAGAGGAGCAAGGAAGGAGGCGGACATGAGGCGTGAAGGAGTAAGGAGTAAGGAGGGATGGAGGGACACACGTATATATGTATATCTCTATACATATATATAGATACAAGATACCTGAGAAAGGCGAAGGAAGGAGTGAGGGAATGGAGAGGTGTGAGGCCGAGGAGAGGGGGGATATGAATCCGGGATACGGATGATATGGAAGGAGGGCGGCAGAGGAGGGAGAAGAGGGAGGAATGAGAAGATGGAGGAGGGGGGCGGGAGGAGGATAGTGGGAGAGGTCTATGGGGTTCTCCGCGGAAGTCTGCTGAGGTCACCGGAGGCCTCCAGGTTCTCAAAGCACGCCCAAAAATCTCGATATCTTCGATCCTCTCCTCCCTCCTCCACCTCCTCCTGGCTCCTCCACTATCCTCCTCCACCATCCCCTTCTCCACCCTCCCCCACCCTCCACTCCTCACCCTCCTCCACCCTCCTCTCCTCCCCTCCTCCTCCATTCGCCCCACCGCACCTCATGGCTCCTCCCTCCCAGCCCCTCCCCCGTCACCCTGGCCGCCCGCGGGCGCCCGTCGGTGCCCCCCCCCCCCCCCCTCGCGGCACCTGGAGCTCCGCCAGCACTGACCACCGCCGCTGCGGGCTCTGGAAGAGGAGGTCGAGGAAATTCACGTTGAACAGGTCCCCCGGCCCCCCCCCCGTGCTGGGATGGGAGGCGGTCCTGCCAGGAGAGCAGCCTGCACCCCGCACCCCCCCTCGTCTTTCTCCGCCGGAGAAGGATGATCGGACCTCGCTTCCACGACGATCGAGGATGTTGGACGTTCGTGGGGGTCCTGTTCGGGCTTCTGGGGGTCTCTGGATTCCTGAGGCATCCTGGGGGGGAGGAAGGATGTCAATCGCTTGATCACTTCGGGGCGGTCCTGGGGGTGGGCCCCCCCCTCCCCCCTGACCCCCTCCCCCCACATCTCCTGTCACCCTCCTCGATCCCTTTCCCCCTCTCCCTGCCCCCGCCAGGACTTCTTCACAAAGTAGAGCCCCCGAAGGTCTCGACCCCTTCCCCTGGACCAGCTTGTCATCCTGCTGCGACGGCCCAGGGGCCCGGCAAGGGGCCCTGGAGGCAGGGATTGCCTGACTGCACTCCCTCGTTGCTTCCTTAGTTCCCTAAGACGAAGCCAAGACGAGGATGGACCCGGGTGAGGACACATCGAGACTAAAAAAAGTCAAGGCCTGCCCTCGGCCCTCGCGTCCAGGGCGCTCGCGAGCTCTTCTGGCGGAGAGGGGCCCAGGAGCCATACTGTCCCAGGACTTCCCCATACAGTCAACCCGTAAAACACGGACGCACGATAAAGACGCACGCCGACAAAAGAGGTCGAGACCTGTCCTCGGCCCTCTCGCCCAGAACTTCTGGGCACTTCTGCCGGAAAGGGGCCCAGGAGCCATGGTTTCCCTGGACTGCCCCTGCAGCCAACCCGTATTTGAGCACATTCTGCAACTTCGCGGGCGCAACGGGCGTCATGGGGGGGGGAGGGGGCGGAGGGCGGGCAGGGGCGTAACGTAGCGCCCCCCTCCGCCCCTACGGTCAAGGTCCGATATATAGCGTGTCTGTGGTTTCGGGCCTTGCGAAACCGAAGGCGTTTACACGCTAAGCAGCGCAGGGGCGTACACGCTAAGTAGGATCGGGTGGAAGAGCCAAACGACATACACGCTAAGCGCTCCGAGACGCTAAGCGCTCCAAGACGCTAAGCGCTCATATACACGCTAAGCGCTCCAGCCCGAGGTGATCTACGTAGGGGGCTTTCTCTTCCAACCCTCTTCTTCCCTTTCGGTGAGGGGTTTACGCACGCACCCCTCCCCCTACGTACGCACCCCCATCCCCCTGGACCTGGACGGGGAGATTTGCGACCGATTGGAGATGGCCCAAAACGGCTCCAAGAGGGTCCTGGAGAGCCCTGGAGAGCCCAAGATGGCCTCCAAGATGACCCGAAGTTATTAATCCAAGATGGCTCAAGATGGCTTCCAAGATGCTCCAGACCGCTCCAAGACGATTCCAGGTGGGCTTGGGGCCTCCCTTGGACGCGCCCAAGACGCCCAAATCCCTCAAACACCTGGTAAGGTAAATCAATGATTCTACGTAGCCCTTTCGACTTTTCGCGTCCGATGACCTTCCGAAGCCGTACGTACTTAAGATGGCCCCAGGGGGCCCAAGAGAGCCCCAAGAGGGGTCCAAGATGGCCCCAAGATGAACCCGAGAGCGTCCAAGAGCGCCCCAAGAGCGCCCCAACAGGACCCCAAGAGGCGATTTTGAGAGCTCCAGAGGGGCGAGGGTACTTGCGGACCCCCCCATTCTTTGATAGATATCCTCCAAGATGGTCCCACGAGGGCCTCCAAGGCCCCCAAGAAAGCCCCAACAGGCGCCCAAGAAACCCCAAGAGGCCTCCAAGAGACCCCCAAGAGGACCCCAAGCGGCCCCAAGAGACCCCCCGAGGCACCCAAGATGCCCCAAGAGCCCCCCGGGACCACCAAGAGACTCCCAAGACGTCCCAAAAGGCCTCCAAGAAACGCCCAAGAGATACGTACGTATCCCAAGAGACTCCGAGACTCCGAGAGGCATCCAAGAGGCTTCTGGCCCTTCTGCTCGCCCTCCTCCTCCTCCTCCCTCCTCCTTCTCCTCCTCTCCTCATCCTCCTCCTCCTCCTCATCCTCCTCCTCCTTTTCATCCTCCTCCTTCTCCCCCACTCCCTCATCCATCCATCCATCCATCCTCATCTTTCTCCTCCTCCTCCTCCTTCGCACGGTTCGGCTTGCTCCATCTTTGTTCCTACGCACGTACACGTCCCTGGTCACATCAACTCGCCTGGGCGTCGTTTCTGGATGAGTGCGCAGGGGGGCATGATAAGGCGGCCCAAGAGGCCCCCAAGAGTGCCCCAAGACGGCCCAAGAGGCCCCCAAGATGGTCCCAAGACGGCCCCAAAGGGTTCCAAGACAGCCCAAGAATCGCCCAAAAGGGCCCAAGAGGGCCCCAAGAATGCCCCAAGAGAGGCCCAAGAAGGGGACCAGGAACCGAAACATCGAAGCCTCCACCCCAAACGTCCCCCAGGAGGCCCCAAGAGGCGCCCAAGAGCCCCCAAGGGGCCCCAAGAGGCCCCCAAGAGGCCCCATGAGGCCCCCAAGAGGCCCAAAAGAGGCCCCAAAACGGCCCCCAAGAGGCTCCCCAGAGGCTCTCTCGAACTGGTGGGATCTGTGGGACCTGCGAAAACAATGGGACCTGTGGGGCCTGTGGGAATTGTACCTGTGGGGCCTGCGCGAGCTGCGACACCTGAGACACCTATGCGACATGAGGGGCCTGTGGGACCTGTGGGAGCTGCGAGACCTGCGACACCTGTGGGCCCTGGGGGGGGGCTACCTGCACTTAGCGTGTCTGGGAGTCCTCGTCGCGCCGCGCATGGCGTCCGCTGGAAATTTGGGACCTGCGGGACTTGCGGGACTTGCGGGACCTGGGGGACGCGCAGGGCTGGCAGCAGCTCCGATGGGGTCCAGGTCCTGCGGCATCAGGGAGACTGGGACTAGTGGTCTCCCTGGGACCTGTGGGACCTGAGGGACCTGTGGACCCAGGAGGACCTACACGACGAGTGGGGCCTGCGGGGCCTGTGGGACCTGTGGGTCATGCGAGACCTGCGAGACCTCCGACACCTGTGCGACATGTGGGGTGCGTGGGACCTGTAGGAGGGACCTGTGGAACCTGCGCGACGTGCGACACATGCGGGACCTGGGGGACATACCTGCACTTAGCGTGTCTGGGGATCCACGGCGCGCCGCGCGCGCCATCTGGGGCCTTTGGAGCCCATGGGACTAGTGGGATCTGTGGGACCTGTGGACCTAGGGAATATGTGGGGCTTGTGGGACCTGGGGAACCTGTGGGACCTGTGGGACCTGCGAGGCCTGCGAAATGTTCGACACCTGTGCCACCAGTGGGCCCTGTGGGACTCCTGGGATCTGTAGGACTTTCGAGGCCTGCGACACCTGTGGGACCTCGGAGACCTACCTGCACTTAACGTGTCTGGGGCCCCGTCGCGCCGAGCGCGCCATCCGCTCGAAATGCGGACCCGCGGCACTAATAGGCTATCTGGGACCAGTGGGACCTGCAGGACCTGTGGGACTAGTGGGATCTGTGGGACCTGGGAGAACAATGGGACCTGTGGGGCCCGTGGGCATTGTACATGTGGGGCCTGCGCGAGCTGCGACACCTGCGTCACCTATGCGACATGTGGGGCCAGTGGCACCTGTGGAAGCAGCGAGACCTGCGACACCTGTGGGCCACGGGGGGGCGACTTGCACTTAGCGAGTCTGGGAGTCCCTCGCGCGCCGCGCCCGCCGTCCGCTGGAAATGTGGGACCTGCGGGACTTGCGGGACTTGGGGGACGTGCGGGACTAGCAGCAGCTCCGATCGGGTCCAAGTCCTGCGGGGCCTGGGGGACCGTGGGACCAGTTGCCTGTCCCTCTGGGACCTGCGAGACTAGTGGGGCCTGAGCGACCTGTGTGGGCCTTGGAGGAACTCTACGACAATTGCGGCATGCGGAACTTGTGGGACCTGTGGGCCATGCGAGACCTGCAAGACTTCCGACACCTGTGCGACATGTGGGGCGTGTGGGACCTGTGGGAGGGACCTGTGGGACCTGCGAGACCTGCGACACATGTGGGACCTGGGGGGGGGGGCCTACCTGCACTTAGCGTGTCTGGGGATCCACGGCGCGCCGCGCGCGCCATCCGGGTCCTGGGAGACTGCTGGACTAGTGGTCTCTCTGGTTCCTGTGGGACCTGTGTGGCGAGTGGGACCTGTAGGACCTTTGGGGCCTGAGGGACCTGTGGGACTTGTGGGGCCTGTGGGACTAGTGGGGCTTGTGGGGCCTGCGAATCTTTCGACACCTGTGCCACCAGTGGGCCCTGTGGGGCTCCTGGGATCTGTGATCTTCAAGGCCTGCGACACCTGTGGGAACTCGGAGACCTACCTGCACATAACCGTGTCTGGAGATCCCTGGCGCGCCGAGCGCGCCGTCCGCTGGACACGCGGACCCTGCAGGACCCCTGGAGCCTGGGGGATTGTCGGACTAGAAAGTCATCGAGGACCAGTGGGACCTGTGGAACCTTTGGGGCTACTGGGACCTGCGCGACCTGGAGAACGTGCGCGGCGTGCGGGACCTGCGAGACCTGTGTGGCCTGTGGGGCTTGCACCCGCGGGGCCTGCGAGACCTGCCGCGCCTGTGCGCCATGTGGGACCTGTGGGACCTTCGAAACATGCGACACCAGTGGGCCCTGGGGGGGCCTACATGCACTTAGCGTGTCTGGGGGCCCCTGGCGCGCCGCACGCGCCGTCTGCTGAAAATGCAAGCGTTGCGGGACTTGCGGGGCTTGGGGGGCGCGCGGGACGTGCGTAAGTCCTGGCAGAGACAATGCGGAAGCGAAGTGGTGGACCCCTGCATGCGCCGATCATGGGCCAGATGGCATCGCGTCGTCATTCCGCACAATTGCAGTGGATCGCACGGGCGCGCCCGCCCCCCAGGCAGGCCAACGAAGTCGACGTTGCGAGGCGCGACGGGAACGCCGCTGTCAGGGGGGGGATACAAGATGATGATACAGTGCGGCACGTCCTATCGGGATTGCCAGACTCGCGCCGAAAAGCCCCCCCCCCGAGACAAAACAGCTAAA